AGATCATCTAGAGTGTCTAATACATCATCTCCACCACCACCAAAAAGAAGAAAGAAAGTGGATACACCTACAACAAAGGTGTTAGAACCCAGTCAACCAGATCAGTCCAATGTGTGATTAATCAGCCATTTTCTATTCCAGATGGTCCTTCGACACCGGCTGCTAATGTACACGGTTCTGCAGATGCTTAAAAAGTCAACTATGTAATTCCAGATATTGAAGAACTGAAAGATCATTTGAAGAAATTACGTAAGTAATTATTTCGATTTTACTATTTTTTCTTTATATTAATTCTAATTGTAGTTGTTTTTTTATAACTTTTTGATAGGTTGACAAGAAATTTGAGGAACTTGTAATCTTGATAAAGGAAAACCACTCGCAGTTGATGCTATCTCGACACAAGGAAAACAACAAAGTCGATCCTCAATCAAGCAATAAACAACCATCTTCACATATACAGACTGATTTTGCTGATGCAGTTGGTGTAGCTGATTTTGAGGTTGGTGTATCTGTTAATGAGGGTGGACATCAAGTTCATGTCAATGCAGAGGTATGTATCAGATACATTGTTTGTAATTGTCGTTATACCTCATACATTAAGTATGTATTAATCATATGTATCAGCATATATAGATCATATATATAGTAAAGGTGATTCACCAAATCTTCTATCTCATTAATCAGTTATATATTTCAACTTTATATTCATTACTTATGTTAAATAATGTTTCAGTAACAATTATGTTAACACCTTTTTTATTATTATAAATTCAAATATAGATTGATCAAAATATTAGTAACCAACAACAAATGAAGGGTGTTTCAGAGCTCTAGCCTACATATGAAAGTACTCATGTTGATACTGAAGCAAATGATCCTAAGAAGGTATCAGTATGATCAAAACTTTAAACATTACAATTTTCTTTGATACATTATCCTCTTATATATATATATATATATATATATATATATATATATATATATATATATATATATATATATATCATACATAATTAGTATAATGGATAACTGATACATACAACATGCTTATATTCAGGATGATGAAGCACATCAAGCCCCGTCAAGCTTTAAATGAAGTAAACATGGATGAAGATGGTGCTGACACAGTTCAACACAACATTCGTCATTTTATACCTTTTAGAATAACAGTTGATACATCAGTATATTTATCAATTATGCATCATTACACTAATATTCATTATATGCAATGATACTAAAAAAAAATATAATATTTTATTATACAAGATTCTTCCACATCAACAACAATATCGCCCTCAACTGAAGCAGCAATAGATGCACTTGTATCCGATCTAGGAAAAGTTGTTGTTACTGCTAAACCATTGTGTGTTTACAATCCACAGGATTTAAATGGCAGTCATGATTTGTTGTCTGATAGTCAATTACCCAATGATATTCCAACCATCGAGATTGTTGTTAGAAGTCATTCAAAGACTCCTGCGCCTAGAAATAGGATGCCTTCAAGAATTATTCAATCTCCATACGTGACTTCTTTTGGTTCAAGCGATAAGGGAAAATAGAAATTGGATGACGATGTTCGTCTGTATTTTCCATTTGAAGGATGTGGGATTACATATCAACCTTCGTCTAAACTAATTGATGAGTATATGCAATGGTTAACCAAGGGGCTTCTCAAAAATCATGCCAATAAGTAAGTTTAATACATATATTTTGTAAATGTTTGGATTAACTTATTTTGATGTAACCAATTGATAATACAAATATATCACAGGAAACCATCAGAGGATAAATACAGATCAAAAGCCTCTTCTTTTGAATTTGAGATGATGGATTTTGTTGTTGCATTTCCAATTAACAAGAACTGGTTCTATGCCATGTCACAGCCAAATAAATGTTGGACTGATCAGGTAAAGTTCTTAATGAAACAATTTAAGCATGTATCAGATACACTGATAAAGAACAACATGCTACAAAAAATCATCCCGGATACAATCAAATAAACGATCAAATTAGTATTTGTTTAGATTATCATTTAATGTATCAATTCTATCATAGACCTTTTTTTACAAGTTTCTAATTTTGTTTATCATGTTTTTTATAGCACATCGATGTTGTTTTTTACTACCTCCAAAAATCAAAACTCTGGAGCATGAATCAATACAGATACACAACAGCCAACTGCTTGTTCATCTCACACATCAAAAATACCTATGAAAGGTATTACTTTGCTAATGATGATGATCTTATTAGTACCCAAGAACACATTGATCGCGCTTCAGCTGTATCTGTATATTAGAGATCAATCACTAACATCATCAAAGGTTTTGAAATCCTAGCTGCTTTACCATGGCATCTTGTAAACGATGTTTACATCCCGGTTAATTGCGATGGACAATTTCATTGGGTGTTGCCTGTTGTTGAACTGAAAAATAGAGTGATAAGGGTGTATGACTCTTCATTAGGCTCAAGGAAAAAAGCAATTATGTACGAGATGAAAATGTTGTCTAAAATGCTTCCTTCTTACCTCATGGACAGTGGATTCTTTGAAAAAACTGCGCGAACAAACTTTGTTGATTGTGATGCGTACAAGGACAATAATTCTGGTTCACTTTTAGAGGCACAAGTTCCTTCCATGGTTAAATTTGCCCAAGACATTATGCAACAAAAGAGTGACAGCCTGTAAGTATTGTGCTTTTATTGTTTTTGAATCATGTCTGATTTAAGTTTATAACTGATATTCTGCATTTTTGTAGAGATTGTGGGTTATATGTTGCTACATTTGGGAAGTATCTGAGCGACCAAATCGAAACATCATTAGTTGATTTTCTTCCTGAATACATACGGAAAAGATATGGAGCATTGTTGTGGAGTTATGGCAGCGAGAAGGCTAAGGGTGCATACGTTAGTGAGAATGATGATCCACCAAAACCTAAGAGTGTAGTCACACAACTACCAGAAGAAGATTTGGTTCACGTAGTGTAGTAATTAAGTATCTATGCATATATAATGTTTTATTTTTTTTATCCTTTTGACAATTTCACTCATGTTTTAGTCTGTTTTGATACAGTATGGACCAACATACTTTGCTTATAAAAAGTTAAATTTCAGACACATTATTGCATTACATAAAGGAAAAGTGTAGTATATAACATATATATTAGCTGATACATGTTTTCATTGTTATTATGTATCTTCTAAGTAATGAGATATAATAACATATTACTAAAAAATAGATTTTTGAAACTTTAACGTATATGATTAATTATTTATAATTAATATTATACGTGCAACATAATATATATAGTATATGATACACGATTCATAACTATTGTGTTAAATAAACTGTTTACAAACTTAATTGTTTAATGTATGTATCATAATATATATAGTATATGATACACGTTTAATAGCTTATTGCTAACATATAGGTTGTGTATGTTTTAATGTAAATGATATAGTAACCAATTAATATATATGATACAACAAATGTTATATAATTTGATGTAGGAATTTACATTACTGAAATTATTTATTATTTAATGCATATGATACATTAGCTTATACGTTAACCAACATTTTATTTATAATTGCACCTTAAAATTTATTTATCAGAATTAACAATGATACACAAATCATAACAAACTATTTTTTTGAACAACAATACTTATTAATAACAAAAATGAACAATACAGTTTAATTATTTTTGAACAACAATACTGATTAATAACATTGATAACTGTTTACGTGAAAAATTGTTCAACAAAAACATTAATGTCATATAAACATTATGATGATTTCACTTTTCTTTTGGAAAGAAAGTACAAGTTCTTCTATTGTGACCTTCTTGTCCACATTGTCCACAACAATTTGTGTTCACTGTAATCTTTTCATCTGCATTCTTTTTTCTTCTTTTCCTTGGTCATCCAGCTAATCGTCTGTATCTAGGTGGATACACAGTTTCAGCTACAACATCCTCAGGAGCTGATCAATCTTCCTTATCTAGCATTGGAACCATTGGAATCTCATATGTTTTTGCTAATGCATCAGGCTTGTAGTAATCAGAGCAATATGGATGCATATCTTTAACATTCTTTTCCTTTAAAACAATGATTGCATGTGCTCAAGGTATCTCATCTTGTTGAAATCTTCCACAAGAACATACTTTCCGCTCAAGACAAACAATGTATCTTCTTCCAACTTCATAAACCAAGAAAATAAATTCATATGATGGAACAACCTGCGTATATTAAAAGAAATCATGTTCAAACAACAGAATGATACACCGAATTATATACATAGAATATAAAATAATGTATTATGACACATACTTCCATCTTCGAACTTTTAGACGCGTTTATAATCAATACCTCCTCAAATCTTCTCCCCAATGTGTCCTTTGTATTGGAGGCTATTTCTCTATTTTTGCAATGCCAATAACGAAATAGAATTCTAACTTCTTCCAAGAATTCTAATATAGACAATTGACGTGCTTCAACAAGACAACCATTGATACATTCCGCAATGTTCTAAGTCATCATTCTACCTCTATTTACTGTTGAATGAACTCTCGACCACTTCTCATACCCTGCATCATCAAGGTACTCCTTAACCCTGTGATCAATTTTATCAACCTTAGCCATCAATTTATCAAAATCCTCCTTTCTGTATGCCTTGGCCATAGAGTAAAATAGATCACTTAGGGTGTTTTTTCTCCTTTTGATGTTTCCACATACATTCTTCCAAAGATGTCATATGCATGCATAATGATGTATATTTGGGAACACAATCCTTACACTCTTCATAATACTCTCATTCCTATCTGATACAACACACATTTCTTCGCGCTCGTCAAATGCATTTTTGAATTGTTTGAAGAGCTATGTCCATGAACAGTCATTTTCAGTGTCCACAACACCATATGCCAATAGAAATATACAACCTAATTACAGAGCAACACATATTATTTCATTTGATACATAACATTTACAAACACCTCACAACTACAAAAAACATATTCCTGCCCCATCAAGTGTGCTTGCTGATACAAATGTCCCTTTGTAAGCTCCACCTAGATGTGCACCATCGACAACAACTATTGGTTTGCAGTAATCGAACCCCCTAATCAATTGTCTTAAGGCTACAAACATATACATAAATTCATCTTCCTCATTCTTCTGCATCCTTATATAAGAATTTGGATAAATAGTATTTAGCATGTATATGTATCTCGGCATCTGTCTATATCCAGCAGATGGTTTACCCCTTATCATTTCTAGTGCACGCTCTTTAGCACGCCATGCCTGTTGGTAAGATATTTGAACCCCATAGAATTCTCTAATATCAACAATTATATATTTCGGAGTATGAATTATTTTATGGTTGACCAATTTGGGAGCAGTCACACCACTAACAAACCCGACTGTTGCTTGGACTTTGGTTAGTACCCTATCCTGCATTGGACACGTATGTTCACTATTGAAGTATCTAACTTTGAAAACATCATATTTTTTTCTGAAGGAAGCCTTTATAGTCGAGCCACATTCATCCGAAAAACATACCAACACATAGCTGTACATTTTTTTTCATCATATTAATACATATAGCAGTTACATGTTATAATTTATAAAACACTAAAGTTCAAAGTAACCAAAGAATGATGTATTTTTTGTATCAGATTCAGAAAATAATAATTTATCCACGTATCACAATTTTTTTGAATGTATCGGCTACATGATTATTTACTGTTTCAACGATATTATCTTAACGTATGACAAATATTAACTCAATGTATCAATAATATTAACAACCAACACAATTATTTTTTATCAGATTCAAAAAATAAATAAATAATGAATCATGTATCACAAAATGACGGAATGTATCGGCTACATGAATCTTGCGATTAGATTATTTAATTTTTAAACAGTCTAATCTGAACGTATCAACAATATTAACTTAATGTATCAACAAATAATGTATCATTATCAATCTACCACAAATCATATTCAACGAACTAAACAAAAAATTAAAATCAATGACTTTTTATTTAATAATGTATCATACATTAAAACAAAATATGGTATCACTATTTATAAATCTAACGAATCCAACTACAGTTCTTCACAAAACAAATCAAATACTCGCATACCTTTGTCTATCAGATCTCTTTACTTTGCAATTGAAGTTGTTCTTTATCTTATATTTCTCCATCACATCTACGAGTGTTGCTTTATCGTTATATAACTGACATGTCTTCACCTCTATACTATTTGAATCAATTATGTAATTTGTAACTTCCAATTCTGGAATATAATACGAATCACAAATTCTTGATTCGACCACCGCAAGAGCTTTTGTATCCTGTGTTGTGCCTTCTACATGTTCCATCAAAGTTATGTACATCACCGCCAATCTTTTCATTTGTGTCAATGCATAATGGATACATTGCAAATCCTGGCTCACTTTTTTCATTTCTAAATAAAGTTTAACACCCATGTCGTTCTTCATTTTCATTGGAGACGAGTTACCTTCTATGATGTAACTAATTTCAATGTTTTTCCTTGATACATCGATATCCAACTCGGCTGAAATTGCTACTTTGAGATTCAAAAATGAAATTGATTGTCCAACAACGATTCCGTCACTTTTGTAACTTTCATATTTCACTTCGCTGACCCAAATTCCTGAATGCCTCAGTAAAATTGATATATTCATTTTGTATCAGCAAAAAATCAGAGTTTTATTCCTATTTCTAGCTTTTTCTAAATGGATGGATGTTCACAAATTGTTCTTCAATGTAGAAGATATAATTTTGAAATTTGAAATTTGAAATTTTGTAATGTCTGAGTAGATTACCTATTAAGATAAGGAATGTTTAGGATTAGTTAGGCGTAAATTAAGCTAATTAAATTAACAAACTTAATTATTACATTTTTCCCTTTTTTAGCGCGACATTCAGTTATAGACGCGTGTATCAGTGACAATGGATAAACACTGTAGCTATGTATCATTCGCCTACCTTTTTAAGGGATTTTTTTGTAAAATGTAAATTAGTTGGGATAGGATGTAATTTATATCCTACACTATGGGATTCCTTCAATATTTACTTTAGTTAATGCTTAATGGGCCAAGTTTATAATTAGTTTAATAACCTTTACCACTTAACCCATATATTTAGATTAAGTTAGTGTAATTTGCCACTTTGAATACCTAATTATTTTATTTAGAAAAAGAAAAGAAAGGAAGGGAAAAACTACCTGTGCAGAGTGTCGTGGAACCTCGAGGTAAGAGGCTTACCTCTATGTTCATAAGAAATAAATTCTGGTGCATAATATATATGAATATAGAATAATATTATAGTAATGGGCATTCAATACACATGAATTGTGATAGGAGTGGTGACAATTATTTTGGGGTTGGAGGAGACAATTCTGACAACCATCATTAATTGAGTAAGAATGGATTACATGAAAAGAGGTGTATATTATTATATCATATTTTGTGTGCATAAAAGGGGCATGAGATTACAAGAATTTGGCAAATTTGTTTGTTGCTGTGCAGCGTCACTTTTATCCATTGTTAGGAGTTAATTATTATTATTATTAGTTGTTATTTTGGTGGCTAGTGAGGGATTCTAATTTCACAATGATAAGGGGGTGATTGGATTTAAATATGAGTTAGGTTTCCGTAAGGGTACTATCTATGTATTGGCTTCAATTTTGGAAGTCTTCTTGTAGTTATCAAGTTACAATTCAAGTTTTTAGAAATTGAGATATGTAATTAAATATTAAATGTATTATATTATATGAAAATTATTAAGGTTGTAGTGTTTGGAGATGTTATGATTTAACCTTAGACTTGATTATAGATTTGATGTGAGTTTTTGGGTCTAGGCTAGACCTATAGTGATATGAGTGTTGTTAGTTTTAAAATCTTATTGTAATTATTTATTTAAATAGATTGTATTGATTTGGAAGTCAACCAAAAGAGGAAGGCTCAAGTTCTGGAGTCATTGTTCAACTATTTGAGGCAAGTGGATTTCTAAATCCTTGTTAAGTGTATGAAATTCGTGTATTTCCTTGTAATATGTGTTTGGGGTAATGAGACTTGGTGATGGGTTGAATTGTCCACATTGATTAATTCTAATGATGAAAAAGGGGTAATAAAAGCCAATGTGATTAATTGTTTGTGTGATGAGTTAAGAATGGTTTGAAAGATTTGTTGAATTATTGTTGATGTTGTATCATGATTGTGTTGTTGTGAATTGTGTAATGTTATGAAAATGGTCATTTTCTCATTATTTGTGTGAACATGTCATTTACATTGTTCTGAGACATGGTTGTGACAAGTATTATGTGAATTGAGAAAGAATAAGAAATTAAAGAGGATGTACCATTTCAAGGGACGTATCGCACGCAGCGATGGATACTATATTTGGGAGGATGTACCGCGCGCCGTGCTAATTACTTTTATCTAGGGTTCTATCACGTGCCGCGATGGATAAATGGACAGATATGTCCCCCATGGGTCCCGGACTGAGAGACAACAGGTGTGTATCATTAGGTCAGACATGCATCACTATACTTGATATTGTATTACATTGCATTACACATATTTATCATTAGTGAACTTGATATTGCGTTTTGCTGAGCTTGTGAGTGCCTTTCTGTGGAACTTTGATTGATGAATATTGAGCTTGTTGCTGAGGATATGTAATTGTTAGAGTGTTGTTGTTGAGCTATGTGCTATGTGAATTATGAACTGTTAGGCTGGGCTAGTTTTAAGCAGGTTGTAGTTGTGGAGGTTGTAATTGATGAATATTGAGCTTGTTGTTGAGAATATGTGATTGTTAGAATGTTGTTGTAGAGATATGCATTTGTAAATTGTGAACTGTTAGATTGGGCTTGTTTTATGCAGGTTGTAGTTTTGGAGGTTCGGTTAGGGTGTAAGGAGTACCCGTATTCTACCCCCTTAGGTTGTGTTTAGAGGTTTGCTTATTGCGTACCATGTGGTTTGATGCTAAACCCTTGCTACTACATTTTTTTTGTAGGTTACTAGCTCAGACTTTTGTGATATTTTCTCTTCTCCTTGTCTGAGACATCTTTTGGAGGTTTGTGAGGAAGCTGCTTCTCATATCAGCGGACCTTCTTTCTTCTTAATTATGATCTTGTTCTATTCTAGAAACAAGGTCATTTGAGACTTGTGTTTTCTTTTGAATCAATTCTAATACTTTAGAGTCTTGTACACGTGACAACCAGATTTTGGGGGGTATTTTTTAGTTGGATTATGAAATTTCCGCATTTTATTGTAATGATTGAGTTTTAGGTTGACTTGTCTTGGTGGGATAAGACTAGTGCCATCACGTCCATTTTTGGGTCACGACAGATTCTTACCATCGATTTGAGTATTCTTGAGATAAGTTGATTTTTTTGAGTCTATTTTTTTTGAAATTCTATGTATAATTATTGAATTGATATATGTTTTGCATTAAAATTCTTGAGTTTATTCGTTCATGTTTATATTTCAGCATGAACCCTATATATTGAGTATTTTTTAGAGGAGAAATATCGTTGAGTTATGAGTTTTGAGTTCTTGAGTCTTGAATTCCGAGTACTGAGTTTACTTATTGCTATTAAGAACACTGAGTTGAGTCGTTCATCTCAACAATTCCACATAAACCCTAGATTTGAGTTATAAATTTTGAAAAGTTTTTTAAAGACAGCACTTGAGTACTTAAACTAAGTGTTCAGAAAATAAAGATAAGATTTGAGAAAAAAGTTTCTAAAACATGATTAGTATGACAATTGAGTATGCCATCAATGTATGAGCGGTATGGTAGCTGGATATACCATCAATGTTTATGCAGGATGACCTCCCGAATCATCAATGATCATCTTAAAATGTTATTTTGATATATTTTTAAGAACGAGTTTTCAGTATGAATTGTGAAGAGTATAAGGGGATTATGTATTCCTAGACGTATCAATTTTTATAGTGCTTAAAGAGTGAACTGAGATTCTTAAATGAGTTATGAGTTCGAAAGATATTTCATGAGAAGTTATCTCTTTTAAGAGGGTAGTTTGAGCAATTATCTCAAACTAAAGGAAGAGTTATTTTTTTAAACTTATGAGCATGAGTATATATTATTGGGAGTAGTACTGAGTACCGATATGGGGACGTGTTCAGACAAATAAAAGTCCTCATAAACCATGTATGGCAACATGGGTAAAGAGTCATACTTTTTAGATGATTCCTTATTGCTTTTTAAGCATAGCTTAGTGGATACACTTAGTTGAAGTGTTATATACCCCAATAAGGTATATGATAGTTCTGGTAGCGTGGGGGAGACGTTGTATCATCACGTAGCTCATAGTGATGAAACTCGCCAGTTATTATTATTATGAACTCAAATTAAAGGACAAAAAATTTGGATTTAGAAGGATTGTTCAAAGAACAAAATTCTTGTGCTTATGTGGATGCGTCGCTCAATTTCCCAAGACTAGAGAAGGGGATTTTCCTACAAAAGATGAAAAGTGCTTAGCTTCAAAGGATGATGTTAGCACCCCTTTAGTCTACCAACGGTTTACACATGGGAGATTTAAGGAAATTAGAAAATAGATTACTTTAGCTTATAAGTTATTTTACTACAGCTTTTAGGTATATATGTTTTTATTTTCTGTGTAGCAGTTATTGCAGTAAGGAGGTTACTCCTCCACTTTCTCATTCAGTTGTAGTAGACAGTAGGCAGTTACTTTCTTTGTTTCAGTGTTGTATTTAATGTATTTGAATTCAATGAAATGTCAGGCAGAAAATTACCAAGTCTTTGAGTACTTCAAACTCAAGAGATTGCAGGTTCTCTATTAACGAACCAGCATCATAGGTCGTAGGAAGAAAACATTTGATTTCACACTACAACGCCCCATAACCAGATCCATAACAGGGGACCATAACAACTTGGTATCACAGACGAATGTTATGGGAGATCAAATTCAACATCAACTGGCACAATTGGTGAACTTATTTCAAGAAGAACGTGCAGCTAATATAGCGAGACAGGAAGCAATGAATGCTCGCTTAGATGCACTCACAAAGGATCTAGCGAATTCGAAGGTTGATTCTGAATCAACTGATCATACCAGTCAGAATCGGGGCTGGAAGGGTAAAAGTGGAGTGGCAGAAGGGTCAAAATCAGATGCAGGAGGAAGTTCCTTCATTCCTAGGTATACAAAGTTGGATTTTCCACGGTTTACTAGCCAAGGGGACCCTTTGGGATGGTTGAACAGATGTGATCACTTTTTTCGACATCAACAGACTCCGGATGAAGAAAAAGTTAGTCTTGCTTCTTTTCATTTAGAGGGGAATGCACAACTTTGGTTTCTTCAACTAGAGATAGATCTGCCTTAACCATATTGGGATGAGTTCAAAAGTTATTGTAACCTTCGTTTTGGACCACCAATCAGAAGTCAGAAGTTAGGAGAATTGGCTAAGTTGCGCCAGATTGGGTCTGTGGCAGATTACAAAGAAAAGTTTGAGCAGTTAGTTTCCCGGGCTGGTACACTCACACAATCGCAAAAGATAGAACTTTATAGTAGTGGTCTTGTGGATTATATAGCAATTGAGGTTGAGTTACATAATCCTCTAGATTTGGCTACGACGATGAGTTTATCCCGGCTTTATGAACGCAAGGGACAACCTTTTCGTTCGCAACTGTTAGA